AAGGAAAGTCTAGTGCCTCACTGAGTAATGCTGTATGTCACTTCCTGTGATGAAAAGTGGAAAGCAGAGGCCTGGGAGAATTCTTGATTTATTTTACCGACAGGTTGATTAACTACATCAGTGGTCCAATACAAACATTTATGTGAGTTATTTATAGAAACAAACTAAAACACAATTATTCCATCACACACACACACACAGACACACACACACACACAGACACACACACACACACACACACACACACACACACACACACACACACACAAACGCTCTAAAAACCCAAGCACTTTCCAGGATTTAGCAATATAAAGTGAAATCATGTCAGGTGTGCTGCTGGGTTTTGGGCATGATTAAGTTTTCTTAAACAAATGGGAACTTTTGAGGAATTCATGTGGTTTTGCTTAATGGTGTGCTTATATTTGCATAGTGTGGTTAGTTACATTAGGGAACAGAAGACATGGGTTTTTGGTCTGTAGGAGCATATGACCTTCTACAAACTATATGTCATAGCCTACTCGTAATACTACATTTCTCATTTTCTCTGTTTCATGGTGACTTCCCCATCTGTGTCTGTCACTCCCCCACATAAACAGTCCCTACATTTTTCCCACCATACTGCCTTTTCTCAGTTGTCATTCCTCATGATATTTAAATTACTGAAGCACTTCATTTTCCTCTCTTTTTGACATTTGCATGACACAATGTTAGATTATGTTGTATGGGAACATTAAATGTGGAAGAAGACAAATTTAGCTGTTTGTTGTAATATCACAAACAATGTCACAGTGGGATGTACAGACTCGCAGGAGTTAAGGTTCCTGACCAGGGCAAAGCTCTTAAAGGAGATAAAAAAAAAAAAACAACTCCAGCACAGGAGGGAAAACATGAAACCTCAGAAAAGGATATTTAAAGAGAGATTCCCCTTCCAAAACTGTAGGTGGAAAAGTGGAAATGAGACAAAGTTGTAACAACACGAATATGTGATACGTAATAGCTTGCTAACAAGTATCATTTTATGGACAGTATCAGGCAGGGTGCCCGATGGAGTCGGCTGGGGATTGGGGTTGGTTGATAAAAATGTAACTATTAACCTTTGTAATGTAATGAAGTAAAAGTACTGTAGTTGTACCATACAATATCATTACCAGTAGCGCAGATATTTAATTCCAGTATAGGTAAGTAAGTAAGTGCACAATAAATATAAATGGTAATAATGAACTTTTCTCATTGTGTTTTACTTGTAGCCTATCAAGCATTCAAATATAGTAAGAACGCAAATAAAATATGCATTAAATATATTTTACAAGAACCCAATTGTATATGAACTACCATAGTCATGCATTAACAGTATTGACACATTATTATTATTGTGGTAGGTTATTAGCAGAGGTGTGATGTGGAGTGGAGTGGTGACTTTAGACTCGACTTGACAAAATCAAAACAGACGTGCAATCGACCTGTACCTAATGATTTGTGACTTCACTTGGATTTGAGCCTTTTGACTTGAAATCCTTAAAGATAAAGTGTTATTTAAAAAGTGTGCTATAAATTCATTTAATTTCCTGAATTAACTAAATACAACAAGACAGGACAGAAACATACAAAATTAATTCTGTTGTGGTGATGGTTAATAGTGTTATATGCACAGGAGCGCCTTGGCTGAATGGTTACAGTACATGCTGCAATGGTCCAACTGTCACAGATTCGATTCCAGCTGGTGACCTTTGTTGCATGTCAAAATAAAAATAGCGCTGTATGCTATGAAAGTAAAATGTAAGCACTACTTTTTCATGCTTAATTTCAGTCAGCCTTGTTTTAACAATTAACTCAAAATTTTAAAAAGCATGTAATATTTTATTACTCTTGTTACATTTGGTGTAGAGTGCATTATTACTTGTTTTGGACTCGAAACTCTAAGTTTAGGAATTGGGACATGAGTCAGGACTTTGGTGCAAAGCATTGAGGCTTACTTGTGGCTTGCAAAACAACGACTTGCTCCCACCTCTGGCTAGTATTATTCTGCAATGGACAAAACTGACTCGCTCATGTCCTGCTCTGTTGGATCAATTACAGGCAAATGTTTTTTTCAGGATTGATCCTTTATTCCCATTATTGTTACATGGGGTTTTATTTTCAGGAGCAAATAATGCACATTCTCCTTTACCTTTTGAGTAACAATATGCTTTTAAGAAAATATTTATCTACAATTCATTACAACATAAACCAAAATGAAAATAACATTAATCAGGAGTGCAAGTGTGGGGAAGGATATAGTTATTGCCATTTTTCTCCAAATTGTAACTGCATGTGGTTTATTTCCGTTTAAACACTGTGACAAATCAGGTTAACCATGTAGCCTGAGAATGAGTGTTTAAACTCAGTGTTTGAAAGTATTATTTGTCAGGTTTTCATAAAAAACAACATACTTTTTACTTAATTTATTAACAGACAAACATATATATAATATATTATATATATATATATACAATAATTTGGA